TAACTAATATTAATATGACAAATGAAACAATTAACTTTAACTACTTTAACTAATATTAATATGACAAATGAAACAATTAAGTAATTAAATAGATAAACGAGAAGTGTATATATAAATCAAATGTATAACTATATATAGTATATATAAATATATAATGTGTAAATATATTATAAGTAATATATAATATAATGTATAACTATATTCTAATTAATATATAATATAATGTATAACTATATATAGTATATATAAATATATAATGTGTAAATATATTATAAGTAATATATAATATATATGTATAACAATATATAGTATATAATATAATGCGTAAAGAATTATAATATGAATGTGTATAAGTATATATTTATAAGTAGATAATTAATATTATAATATATAAGTAGATATAATAATAATATAAATTATATATATGTAGAAAGAATTTGGAGAAGATGAAGATGATTGAATATGAGAGATTAAGAGAATAGAGAATTTAGATTTTAGAGAGTAGAAAGAGTTGTAGGTGTAAAAAATGTATAGAAAATAGGAGTATAAATAGGTTTTTTTTTGTATACCCCACCCCCACCCCCACCCCACCCCCCCTAACCCCCCAGACCCCCCCCCCCCCCCTCCTATGCTCCCAACGGCTATAGAGCCGTTTGGGAGGTCTCCCAACGGCTAGTAGAGCCTTCAAATTTTTTAAATTTTTTTTGTGACCGTTGAGGCCCGGACCGGGCCCGGCCCGGCCGGGCCGGTTCACCAAATTATAAGCCCGGGCCCGAACCGCTACATGACCGGGCCGGGTGGCCCGAACCGTGACCTAACCAACAAACCGGGCCGGTCCGGGCCCGCACAGTAGCGGGCCGGTCCGGTTCCGGGCCGGTTGGCCCGGCCCGAGTCCACCACTAACTCCAACATGTTTATTGTTACGCAATCCCCCGCTAAGGTATGCTCCCCTATCTCCACTCTAACATACCGTTTAGTCTTATTTGTACAATTTTCCAAGTAAGAATAGTTGTGCGCCAAGCAACACCCAAAGGCTTTTGCCCCTCTAAATTTCTCCATCTATATTTCCTTATCTATCTCTTATATATACTCATTGGACCCGCACAATTTCTTTTATTGGTTCTCTCCGAAAATGCATGTCGCGACCCGGACTGCGCCTGTGTCACGTAGACAAATGCCACCCAATCCAACAAGGATGACCACATTCGTCCTTAATAAATTGTACAAAGCGTCCGCGAGATTCATACACCAATCTAATCAGTAAACACATATAAGTAACATGAATATTAAATCAAACAAAGTGCAAAATACATATGTTTGAAATTAGGCCACACGTGGCAATCATAGGCACGCAGGCTCCAAAATGTTTACAAAAATTAATTTAGAAAAATCCCATGAGCAATTACAATATTTGAAAATAGAAACAAGAAGCACGAACCACGTCTTCCGTTAGATGATCACCCGAACAACGGTGCAGGAAGTAGACTCTAGTCTTGATCGACCTGTAAAAATAGTGAGGCCCCCCAAAGGGGTCAGTACTCCACAGAAAGAAGTACTAGTGACATGCAGTCTTTATGATCGATAACTAATGTTTTGAGTATACGACTCAAATATAGGATGATACACACATATATAAGGGCATATATTACTACCCCAACCACAAGATAATACCCTAGCATATACTTATAAAGTATCTGACCCAGTAGTCATTTTCTTTAATAAAAACAACAGAAGGATTTATTCCTTAGACTCTCACCCTTTCCCTTGCAATAAACTCCGGATATCTAGCGCGAGTTCTGTCCTATATTCGTACCTATTAAGTGTTATACTGAGCTTCCTGGCCCCGGGTCACCGTCCCGTACCCATAACGGTTATATTGGACTTTCTTGGTCCTAGGTTTGACTAGTCCATACTAGAAGTATTAAGTTGGACTTTCCTGATCCTGAGTTTGACTAGCTCATACTAGGAGTTTTAAGATAGACTTTTCATGTCATGGGTCACTCACCTATCCGAGTGTTAGATTGGACTTTCATAGTCCCGAGTCACTCACCCATCCCTATTTTATCATACATTCTATTTATGTATAACTAGCAATAGTGTTCAACTCCACCGAACCCTTCCTGGTCAGGTAATAATTCACTAAGGACCATATGGGTCCACACCAAGGCTGAAGTACTGGCCCACATGTAATTGAACCTTCAGTTGGGATTTCGGCTCGCCCATTGGGTATTTTAGGTCACCCATCATACTCAGGTCCCAAGTCTGGACCTTTGGGTTTTTCAAAAGGTCCAAGTTTTTAGAAAAACATGGAGGTTTTCGAAAAGAAACAAGTTTTTCGAAAATGTGCAATTTTTCGAAAACACATGTTTACGGACTTTGTACTTAAACAGATCAAATTCGATGATTGAATATTTGTTGGATTCCTCTCTTCGAGAGCTACAACTCTTATGAAGACATAATGTCACAACTCAGAGCACAACAAAAGATATGGATCTTACTCCCAATTGATTTGTGAAGACCAGAATTTTTTCGAAAAATGGGCAGTTTTTCGAAAACAAAAACAAGTTTCTTGAAAATGCAAAGTTTCTCAAAAAGTCCAAGTTTCTCGAAAATGAAAAGTTTCTCGGAAACGGTAAGTTGTCGATTGGACCAGAACTAAGACCATATAGACACCGGACTGAGACCCAGTCCACCCTTAGGCGTAAGTAGGCAAGTTCATTGCAATAGCACTGCAGTGTCCACATATTTCAAATTTGGAAAACTAGTAAACCTCACTAGACATCTCTTTGACTCAAACTGTCTTGGATTCGTGTCTTCGAGAGCTACAACTCATGTGAAGACATTATGTCTAAATTCAGATAACAACAATAGATATCGAACTTACACTCCACTCTAGATACCAATACATTGTATATTCAATCAAACATATCTAAGAAGCATTTTATCACCTTAAAATCATTCTTTCATGCACTTGAGGTAATCGAATACAAGACCCAAAAGTTATTCGACATAAAGCTGTCATCTCACCTGGAAAATGGCATGAATAAATTACCCTTGTTGTGATAATTCCCCCCTCCCCATCTCAAGCCCTATTCCCACGTTCTCCTGTGGCTTCAAACGGATTGAAAACGACGAAGATGAAGTTCACGCACAAAAACCATCTTAAGCTCCTGTGTCTGCTGCGCTGCAAATGTCTAGGTCGTAGGTTTCTTTTTAGATGATTTAGCCTTTGATAGGTCTACTAAATAAGCTTTGGCCCCTTTGTCCTTTATTTGGTTATTCCTCTCGTTTCCTTTTATTTAATTCAAAGACACATCCTTGGTCCGTAATTACTTATTCTCCCAACATAAAATATTATCCGGACTAAGATAAATATAATATGTAACCCTGGGATATACTAGGTGCTCCCATTCCCCACATGGGTCTCACAAATTTAAATTTAATAATTGCTAAAATTAATCGCTAAGATAACATTTTCAATCTTAGTTCTCTTTTGACTTCGATATCATGGATCGATTCATATTAGTCGATCCCAAATTTTTTTGTGAATAAGGTTTGAATGTTGTTCTATTCGTAATTGCTCGAAAATTTTAATTAGCGAAAATTTACAAACGAAGGGACAGTGTCACAATTATGCATGGACCGGTTCCGGTCCGGGCTCCGGGCCAGGTACCTTTTTTTTTGCTTTTCTAATTACTTCCTACCCCCCCCCCCCCTCCCCGGCCCGGCCGGTACCAAAGAACCCAAACCCATGACCCGGCCCAAAAACCCCCCGATTCGGGCCCTAGACCCGGGCCCGGGCAACCAGGTCGGCCCGGTCCCGCACAGTGGCGGGCCAGATCGGTTCCCGGGCCACTCCAACCCTAGTCATAATGCACCTATTCAAGAATGGGGATCAATCCTATGCTTACACCAATGCCCATTTCTAATGGACTCTCATACACTTACAAATGACGTTCACTAGTTTGGTAACCCTCCAACTCCTGGGGGCTTAGCTCACAAATCACTTAATGAATGCTTAATCTCACGTCAAGCGACAACGTAAAAGTTGCTGAAACCCGTGAAGTTTTGGTATTGCACTAGGAACTTGGACTTAGAATATGTTTACTTCACGGGCTAGTAGGCACCGCTTATTAAGACATCTTTTACTAACCCGTTATTTAGTATGAGGTTCCTTATAAATGTATGTTTACTTCACGGGATCGATACATTTGTTAAAATATAATTTAAAATGTCAATTATAACCTTAAAAAACTTTATCCTTCCTTGCTATCACTCCTATCTCAACCCCCCACCACCTTAACTCACCCTCTAGGGTAGGATGGGGTGGGGATAGGGGTGAGAAGAGGTTTGGGCAGGGGTTTATGATATATGTAGAATGTGGGTGTGGGTAGGTGGGGTGGGGGTAAAGGAGTATGGGATAGGGGTATGTGGGTGGGGGTGGGTGGGGGAGAGGGAGGTGTAGTGGGTAGGGGTATGTATGTGGGGGTTGGTTAGGGGTAGGTGGGGGTTAGGGTAAAGGGTAGGCAGGGGGGCACGGGAGGGTAGGGGTACTGGTCAAATGTAGGGTTGGGGTATGAAGTGGGGCTGCTTCGGCCACTTTGTGAAGAGAGTTATACTTATCAATATGTAAAAAATTAACATGTTGGTAAAAACGTGGGGTGATGTACTTGCTGGGCAACACTTTATGACATAAAAGGTGTTTACTGTGTAGAGATTTATCCAAAAAATTGTTTACTTTAACCGTATTAATGAGCTAACAATGAAATTAATTGTAAAGTAAACATGTCCTTAATTAGTTAGAACGGCTCCTTAAGTATAGATGCATGTACATAGACAGTGCTAGTATTGGCAATTTGGCATCTTTTGAGTATTTAACTATTTAACATTTTGCCAACAATATATGTTAGTTAGTAATTGGAAATACTTTGTTAAGTCTCTTTTCAAATTTTAGGGCCAAAGCAGGAATTTTCAGAGTAAGATTCGAGAACCATGTAAATCTATATTAACATAGATATAATAATGCCAATAATGAGTAGTCAAATAGGAACAATAACTTACCGAGGCGGACTGCCTGCTTAACTCACTCATTCTGTTGTTCAAAAGCCTTATTTACAGAACATGATTCAAAGACTGACTTGATCATATTGGTAAGAAATTACAGTTCATCAGTTCAAGAAAAGAGGCTGACACATATCAAACTGATATTGCTGCTGCTGCTCACCCCATTGGCTATCTATTGTAAGAGCGCTCTTGAAGAAGCTGGCGGGTGGGTGTTTCTTCCATAAAAAATTCAGAAGAGTAAGCATTCCAGGTAGAGTTGATTGATCAATTCAACAGGTAGCAACAAGGCAGTTTAAAGGTGGCTTAGGTAGAGAAGAAAGAGGGGTAGAGGTAATACTATCAAGATGTTCCCATTTCACCCTCCGTCTCTCGGCAACTATGTCTGATGTCGACTTTTCCTCCTCAAGTTTTCTTTGACAGGAAAGAACAAGCTCCTCGTCCATCTCCAGTATCACTTTCCTCACATTTTGAGTCAGGTTCAGAATGGACTTATTCCAATGGTTTTGGCCGTTCTTTTCTAATGCCGACACTACAATGGGCATCATCACATCCTTGTTGAGCGTCACCAGGTTAAGGAAGTTGTCATTGTTCCACAAGAGATGTGCTCTTTCTGCTACCTGTAAAATCTTGACAAGTTGGTACAAACTAATATGCAATGGCATTCCCCTAAGTGATGAGTCTAGAGTCAAACAAAGTGAAATTATGATTTCTTTAGAATTTTAAAAACAAAATACTAGCTTTTCAAGTCATTCAACACATATACAAGATATAAACCCCTCACGTTTAATACCTCCCTTAAACTACTCTGGTTATCATATTGATCATTTTGGATGAAACCCTAAGTGTTACAAAGACGCCCGCTTTAGTAATGGCTGTTAGGAACAAGCTGCTTTTGGAAAGTAATTATTGTTTTGTTTCGGCTTAGGTTGTTAGTAATAAGTGTTACGAAACCTATATTAGCTAAGCTTTTTTGCCTAGATTTCTATGATGCTTCTTTTGGGCTGCAATTAATTGCACGAAAATAAGTTGTTACAGGAAATGTTCTGTGGAAATTTTCCCCTGAAACATATAAGAGCACTTGTTAATGCACAAAAACAGCAAAAAGAAAAGAACTGTTTCATGAAAATGGGTCCCTTATCTCCTTATTAATTGTCCATAGTGACGAACAAGAAAAGAATGAAAGATACAGAGAGCTTGAGTTCATCATCATATTATATGCTGTTAACAAAAGAGAGTAATAATACCTGGAAATGCGAGCTATTGAGGCAAAATCCTATACGCCGAAAGAGTGGGACCATGATCTTTTGAAACTCAGAAACCTTCATCAATTCCATAATCTCTTCGATCTCACTGATAAACATCAACTCCTTTTGGCTATTCTTCACAGGCCAATATCTCAAAAGCTTTGCTACCAAAACGCTAGCCAGGTTCTGCTCCTTCTCTACAAACTGTACAACACAGTATACCAGCTGTTGGTGATACATGCCCAATGCTTTTGGCTTGTGTAAGGGTATCAAAGCCCTGGAGAAGAACACCTTATGTTCTTCTTTTAAGGGCAAAGCAAAACCGCTAATCACACTTCCCAATACTTCAAGCAGTTCTGAAATCCCATTATGCCATTGAGTCTCAAACACAAAGCCATAAAATAAGTTACTGATCGCATTTCGGATGAAAGGCCTGTGCACCATGAACTTCTCGTACAGCCGGTGGAGGACCGATTTAAGGCACTCTCTTTCCCTTGGGTCCTCAGAGTCAAATAGGTTGAGCAGTCTTATTATGAAGGAGTGATGCACATATTTCTTTGCTGCCTTCGGATCAAGAGACGTCAGGCTTATGAATTGAAGGAATAGATCGTACACCAGCTGCAAGTGATACCAGGCAGGGTCGAATAGTGGTTCTTCATCTTCACTCTCACCTCGAGCAGAATGGGAAGGGGGGTACTTGGGAGGGAAGTCTCTAAACAAATTAACAGCACACATTTTGCAGACTGCAGCAATGGCAGATTCAGTGCATTTAACAGACCCAGAGGTGACAAAATCGTTGAGATCAATCAATGCCTGTCTCTTCAGGTCTTTTTCCACCGCGTTCTTCTCAGGATCACTGAAATCAAACACGGAGCAACAGAGGTTCAGCTTGCTCAAGAACAGGCCTTGCTTCTCCCCATTTGAGACATCCTTGAAGCACACGTGGGGCCCAATGGACTCCCCTCCTGCCACGGGGAATATTGCAGACGACATGCGTTTCACTACACTTAGTTGGTTAGCTATCACATTGCAGCTATTTGTGAACTGAAGCCCATCGCCAGTATCTGTCATGGGTGGCTTGCTGTTTAAGGGTTTGGTCACAGAGGGATCCTTTGAATCAGATTTCTGGGATTTCCGAGGAATTTTCGCAAGAATTTGCTTAAGCATTTTAGCAATGGTTGGGGATGCAGCCAAGAGTGATCCTAGGCCTATATGAAGAGCAGCAACATGTTCATTAAATGATTGTAGCAAAAAGCTCATGCAGAGAATAAATTTCCAATTTCAGTGTCACACTTTTCTACAGGTATACATTTTCAAGCTGCACAGTGATGAAGAAAAGTCGCAGTTTTTGTTTTTGCTCTTACTTTCAATCTAGACTAACTAAACCCTAATGATAAATTGCAAGAACATTCTAATCAACACTTTTCGCCACAGCACAGATCTCAGAAATTTAAGCTCCGAACTCAGAATATAGCACAAGATTGATTACAACATGTATGAACATTAATCCCTACACGAACAAATCACAGATCCAGGGCACAAACCAGGGAGCAAGGCTTCGGACACCAAAAGAGAGAACCCGAGATGATTCAATACATACAAACAACGAATTTCAATGTCCAGAAGTAAAGAAGAAGACAAAAGAAGTCTTATTTTTTACTTTTTTGAAGGAAAATAAAATTTTGCAGAGACATATGAAATGAAAGATTCAAAATTGAGCTAAAATAAAAGAATTCACATATGTATGGGGAGAGAACGAGAGAGAGAACCTGTGTCAGTGTGGGTCTGGTTAGCGATAAGGAAAGAAGAAAAGGGCATTAAGATTGGTGGGAGAATTGGCAGAGGGTGAAGAGAGAAGAAGGGAATGATGCAAAACTATACCCGTTGGAGTTGGGGGTGGGGAAAAGAGAGTGTGGAATCACAACATAGTCTTCCTCTTTTGGCTTCGGATTGAAGACACAATGATGAGTGTGGAGGAGCCCAGTCCCTACTCTCCTTTTTCTTTATATTTTAAAGATTTCTTTCCCCCTTGTAGCCAAGAAAACAAGACTCTTTTTTGTGAAACATAAACAATTGTTTTCCCAATTCTTGATTGATGTTGTTTTGTCCGTTCTCTTGCTACTTGGTTCTTGTTCAGATCATGGTTAGTACTACGACTGCGGCTACGGCCTTCATGCGGACCATGCCTCCTTTCTCTCTCTACACCATTTATGATTGTATACAAGCCCAGTGATTAAGCATATTTTATACGTATATCAGGGGTTTCCTTTATTTTCCCTCGACTTTTGTGCAGAAAGGTTAATGAATGACAGCGCCATTTTCACTTAAAAATTGCCTGCATTATCATTCATTCACCGCTCCCAGCATTTCCGTCCGCTACTGGTAGTGACCAGTGGGCCTCGGGCCGGGCCTGATCGTTTTTGTTTTGTTTTTTGAGGCCCGGAATCAGCGGCAGAGTCAGGGTACTGGGCTGGATTGGGCTGATATAAAAAAAAATTTGGAAAAAATTTTACAGAAAATTCTTTACACTAAAAATATAGACATTTTTAAAATTTGGGATGGACCAGGGCCAGGGTTGACCCTCCCCTAGCTACGCCCCTGCCCGGAACCGTTCCGGGTAGCTATTGGATCCGGTTCGGGCCGGGCCTCGGGCTGGGTACATGTTTTTTGATTTTCTAATTACTTCCTACCCCCTACCCCCCACACCTCAAAGCTCTCCAAAACACCCAGCCTAACTCATTTACCTTTAAAAGAATTTGAAAAACAAAAAAATGGCCAGAATCGGGCCGGGCCGGGCCGGTTCATGTTTTTGATACCCGGAGCCCGCCCTGAAACAGTACCGGGCCGGGTGGCCCGAACTGGGCATGGACCTCGGTATCGGGCCGGGCCGGCCCGGTTACGACCAGTTGACTCGGCCCGAGTCCATCCCTAGTGTATACTAATATTACCGGTGGGCGTAGCTCAACTGGTAGCGAGGGAGTGCCACAAGGGTTAGATCTCGGGTTCGAATCCCGGCAACTGCGATGAGAGATGACTATGCTAAAAATATAGGGTCTCTGCAAGTATCAGGGACAAAGCCACACTCTCTATCTGTCAGATTGAGATTATAGTCCAATTTACATTCTCCAAACGTACCGTCCGGTCAGGGTTGGGGGCCCTCAGTGATGAGGTGTCATGCTTTTAGTGTATACGATTGCAATTGCGGAGTACTATCAAATATGATACCCTACCCCACTCTCTCATCCATGCAAAAACTCAAAATTAAACTGTGTTGATAGGGTAGTGACCAGGGAGTGAGAAATACTCACTCAGTCTCATTAACAATGCGATAACAGGGAGTCACGTGCAAATCAATAAAAGTGTTTTATGTGATTGATATTAAATTAATAAAGTAAGAATGATTTAGAGGCACACAAACTTTATCAAATTTGGTATGAAACCATCTTAATGGGACGGACTGAAAAGATAAAACAGGACAATCTTAGCAGGACGGAAGGAGTAATATTTATATTTGAATGAGGGGTCAAAAGAAGATTACTATGTTTTAAATGGATAACTATATATGTGGACAGAAAAGATACAATAATTGTAAAATTGTTGTACAACACGCGTTAATACATGTATGAACACTAACAACACTTCATGTTTTTTTTTGGTTCAGTAGCAGGGTGATGTAACTCGCGTTTGAAGAAATGCAATTGACGTTGATGAAAAATGTAACCGGAGGCGAGTCGAAATGTAGGTTGTCTGATACGGAGTATAAGATATACTACATAAAATATAAGATATGAAATATTAATTTCAATGTAAACAATGAAATAATAGTCTAATTGGCTAATTACTTTATGTAAATATAGTGAATATGTTTTGTTTCTAGTATGAGGGCCATAAATAATGATATATTTAAAAAAGATCATACTTTCACGACTAAAACAGAATTTGTGAACAGTGATTTTTTGTTTGAATAGCAGCCTAGCAGGATATGTTTTGTGATGTAACTTGTGTTGATGGAAAATGTAACTCGCGTGAATCCAAAATGTAACTTATTGAGGAAAGTTCAAATGTAACGCGTGCATATGAAAATGTAATTCGGCACATGAAATTAAAATGTAAATCACGCATGAAAGATGTAACTCACACAAATGAAGATGTAACTCGTGCATAAGAAAATGTAATCTCATTCATTATCAAATGTAACTTCATGAATCATGTATAAATATAACTCACACGAATAAAAATATAAATCGCACACATGTAAATGCAATCTTCTATTTTATCAGATGCAAGTCAACATAAATATTTGGAACCGGTATACCATGCACATGATATAACGGTTCCACGGTATAATTTGTAGAAAATATACTTTATCTCAATTAAAAAGACAACTACATCCTTAACTTGATTCTCCCTCCCTTACCCGCCCGCTCTCTCCTCTATCAATTAGTTCCCCATCAGCTCTGTCCATCGATCAGTTCTATTGTCGTTGAAACATCCTCTCATGCCACCACCGCATAGGATCTTCACCATCTCGTCTACAGCTTTTGTCACATTCGCCTCGGGTGTGCCCCCCTCCTTCTTATGTCTGATCCTCAAATGCGTGATGGTTAGGGCTCGGTGCCTTGGGTGTGTGATGGAGACTCAATGATGGCGGCTATGGTTCGGTTAGCTTGTGAGATCCGACGACGGTGCCTAGATAGGGTTGGTTAAGCGTCAGGAAAATTTCGAGCGGTTAAAATTGTGAATCTGAGCGACAATTCTACGCTGACTAGGGTTGAGGAGGGAGGCAATGGTAGTGCGACCACCGCTAATGTGGTTATAATTATCACTAGCGCACAGCGGGTGGTCACTAGATAGTGGTGGTCACTGTGGCTGGCGGTGGTCACTGTGGCTGGCGACGACAGTCACTGTGACCAATAGAGAGGGGTTACTGTGGGCAGTGGTGGTCTCTGGTCGGTGGTGCTAACCCGCTTTGATGGTCACTGTCACTGGGGGAGTAGTATAAAGTCTTGAAAGTCGCTTTTTTGGAAAATTCTAAAAGTATACTATTTTTCAAGGCTTTTTCGTGGCGCTTAAAGTCAAAAATTGCCTAATCGTTGTCATTTACAATAGTTAAGAATATTGATTTTGCTATTGAATTTTCAATGACCAATTTAAGCAAACGGTTACTCGCAATTAAATATATTATCACACAGTTAGTTATGATTATAATAAAAAACAATCCTAGGCAATGGGGTGAGGCAGAAAATTATCCGGTTGCACGGGCATAGTTATATGCATAACCATCCCTTCCTGCCCCACACATGTTATCATTGATGGAGTTATGGGACTAGGTGTAATACTTGAGAGATTATGTTAATTAAAGGATTTATACTGCTTCTCATACCAACAAAGTTCATCTCCTTTTAAGGTAACTCATCTCCTAAGAATTCCAAATTAAGCGTGCTCGCACGTGAGCAGTCTTGGAATAGATGACCCTCTGAGAAGTTTCTCAAGGCACTCACGAGTGAGGACAAAGTGTGTGGTAAAGGCTCATATGGTTTGTGAGGACATTATTGGCAGTGGTGGAGCCAGAAATCTATTTTCAATAAATACAACTTCCTCCACCCAACACAAAAACCAAGCCTTTAACCCTATTATCTCTAGCCCGGTCGAGCTAGACAGAACACTATGAGGCGCATCATTTATAGATGTTTACCAAAGATGGAGTGGGAGTCCTGACGTTTCTACCTCTGGTACATCTTTTTACTAAGGCCATCAGTCAGAACCTAGTTCGAAGCTGATGATAACGGGCAATCCAAGTGATCCCGGCTCTACTTTTAACAGGTCGCCACAACAGCAGCAAGCCTCCTCTACCCTTTCAACTCCATGCATCCACGATCAACTCGAAGACATCCTAGTTGATAACAAATGGGGTGGTGTATGGACGGAATGGGACGATCTTAGACAAGAAACTGAGCAGTATGATATGAAAAGAGGACTCTTCATTAGAGAGCTGCTCACCAAATGTGATGCTGACCTCATTCGGCTTGATGAAGACGAACTCAAAGAAGGGGAGAACTATAAAGAAGCTCAAGTTGAGCTATCCAAGGTGATGAGACTAACAGGAACAATGCCATTAGAGAATGAAAACCCTTGGGAAAACATCAGAATAATCGTCCTCTTCCAAGAGGAACTCAGAAAGCGTATATGGCGAAAACCATAGAAACTCAAACAACTTGATGAATTGAAAGCTCGTGGTCTGACCCACCTCAAAGGGAAAGACATCGGAGGACATCTGCACATGATGAGCCACAGATCGATAAGGAAACAACGTGAGATCCTGAAGCACGATCTACAGACATGCAAGTATCCCATCTGGAAAATTCTAGACGTGACTGAAGGTAATCACGCAGGAATAAAACTCTCTATCTATCGATTGCAACACACTGCTAAGACAAAGTTTACCTGCCAAGAGAATGACTTTTTCTTGCTAAGGATGGATGATATTTATCAGATGTTCATGGCATATAGGGATCTCCCCGTCAGTAGCAACAAAGTAGTGAAAGAAGGCTTCAATGCAATCAAAAGATTCATGATACGGCAAGTCTGAGTCCATGGTTCCCATGATCTTCAAATGGCCCTAGAAAACAATCTTCTTTGAGTGATCCCAGATCAACAGTCGATTAACTAATAAATAATAATATGAAAAATATGAACAGTAGAAGAATAATTCATCAACATTCAATGCCGTATATCACTATTACAAAAAATGTCTTTCACATCACCTTTTTCGCGTGTGTTATTTAAACACTCATGTGAAATACTTGTATGGGGTCATATTTATAATTTTTATAAATTCTTCTGCATCAGTTATTTGTATAACCGATGTTAAATAGGAAAATGGGGTATATTTTAATATTTCACGAAATATTCTACATCGACTATCCTTAGAACCGATGTTAATAAAAAATGGGGTCCTTTTTAGAATTAATGAAAACTCAATCAACATCAGTTAAAACCGATTTAGAGAAAATAAAAAAAAATGAGAATGTTATTCTGGACCGGGTTTAGCGATCTCAATCGATTAAAACTTTAAGTTTCTCATACTACTCTGGTTATAACTTCAAGCAGATCGTTTGAAACCTAGCAGAAAGTCGCTAATGACAGAGCAAGGGTATCCTGCGTTATTGTCGCTACTCTGGCCTAAGGTTGTCGCGACTACGGATTTGAGTGTGATTCCGACCTTCGGCGTTCGAGTGTCACAACATTTCTCCGTTTCACCGTTGGACGGTTTTCAAGCGAGCAGAGCAG